GGAATATTAAAGAGAACATCATTCTATCACCTCTACTTCGAATATTTCAACTGGTTTTTGCTGTTATTCATGGTGATGACGATATTAATAATAATATTGTAGATGGTTTACACAGTAGAACTTCTCATCGAGTACTCTGCTGTAAATCAGATTACTTATATGAGACTCAGCGGTACTATTCAGCTGTTAAAACCATAGTAGTTGGGGTGGGGTTCGAACCAACGACATACTGACTAAAAGTCGTGTCTCGAACCACTAAACTACTGTTACTCATCTAATTAGTCATTGTGTTATGCAGAACAAGAAAAATAAACAAATTCGTATCATTATCAAAATAATTACTTATTATGACAAAAAAGCATTAATTCCCTTTTTACCTTATATGGTGTGACATCATATTCGTCTAAAAACATTATAAGCTGATCCATACATATTCTTAGATCACCAGTTGTAAATTCATATGGTATGTTAAATCCAAGTGGACCGAATTTTTTACGTTCAATTAATACACCATGGAAAAATGCTAATGATAAAAATAGATGCCGAAAGACATCATTCTGAAATGAGAGAAACACGAAAGAAAGAAAATAGTTCAAGAGTTAACATCTTGGTTTATCTTCCAAAATGAATAATTATATGCTGATTGGTGATTAACTTTATTCAAAATTCTTGATGTTCTAGCTAATACATATTGATAGTAGAGTTCGATCATATCAATCGTGAGACAGGTATAACTGATGCCAATATCATGAACTGATTAAAGATGGAAGTAGAAATCACTGAATAGCAATTCAGTTGGCCGAAGTAAAAGACATACATCATCAGACCTAAAGGTCTTGAGCTTCATCAGTGTTGAAAAGATAGTTTATTTATTGGTATGACGTCTCAAACTGAGGCAAAATAAACTGTTTGATGCTTCTTCGGTTATAAAAGGTTGGCTTAATAAGTTTTGGTCTATGATGTAAATTAAATTTAAATTGAATATTTTATAACAATTAGTCCCTTTGATAAATTTCGATAATGATATTAGAAGACGAAGATTATCAGAACTATGTGATATATTAGCGCAATACATTTCGAACAATCTGGTCACACATATACTTGTTAAGAGCATTTATATATAAAAATAAAAGGTCAACTAGACAGGAAACGGGGTAAGAGGAGATAAGGATAATGATAAGAGTAATAATAATAATAATGTGAACACAATTAGGTTTCAAATTGTGTTCACATTATTATTATTATTACTCTTATCATTATCCTTATCTCCTCTTACCCCGTTTCCTGTCTAGTTGACCTTTTATTTTTATATATAAATGCTCTTAACAAGTATATGTGTGACCAGATTGTTCGAAATGTATTGCGCTAATATATCACATAGTTCTGATAATCTTCGTCTTCTAATATCATTATTGAATATTTTATGCAAATATTTCATGAAAATGAGAATATACTCCTTTACAATGAATTTGTACTGAGTTTCATATGGTGTCAAATACATGTACAGCTTGCAAGTTATACTGTACGAAGCAGAATTATACAATTATCTCCTGTTTCACAACGGTTCTTTAGCTAATGCTAACTTAAACAATCAATTATCTCACAGATTGAAATCATGGGTCAGTTGAAGCTAGACCACCATTGAAAACCTGGAAGCACTGGACGGCCGTTTCGTCCTAGTATGGGACTCCTCAGCAGTGCGCATCCACGATCCCGCACCACGCGGGGCTCGAACCCAGGACCTACTGGCTTCGCCCGCGGGCACTTAACCATTAGACCACTGGGCCGGCATCCAACGGTGTTAATGTCTAACTTCAACCAATCCACGAAGTTGCGCCACCGTACACCATTTTCTTCAGTGAGTTCCTATCTCACAACAGACCTGGTAATAATAATCAACTGCTCACTAGTGACTGACTTCAGGAAAAACTCCCGAAGTTCTAGTGAGAAGCCGTTACCAGTGGAGTTCAACCAGGTCTGTTGTGAGATAGTAACTCACTGAAGACAATGGTGTACGGTGGCGCAACTTCGTGGATTGGTTGAAGTTAGACATTAACACCGTTGGATGCCGACCCAGTGGTCTTATGGTTAAGTGCCCGCGGGCGAAGCCAGTAGGTCCTGGGTTCGAGCCCCGCGTGGTGCGGGATCGTGGATGCGCGCTGCTGAGGAGTTCCATACTAGGACGAAACGGCCGTCCAGTGCTTCCAGGTTTTCAATGGTGGTCTAGCTTCAACTGACTCATGATTTCAATCTGTGAAATTTCTAAAATCTCCACAAAACCCATTCTGATAATAATCAATTATCTCTTAATAAATTGATTGCTAACAAGATAATTAATAAGTACTCAACTAATGTGAATAGTAAGTGTAAAAGCATAGAATCTACGAAACACTGGAAAAATAATGTCTCTGACAAAAACTACTTTAATCAAACTATTCTCCACAAAATAGTCAAGCAAAGAAACTTCACATCTTAACTAGCTATTAGTTTCGAGCTAGGTTCTTTACCTCTCAATAAAAAACTGGCTGGTACAGCTCACTCATACAGAAAGTAAAGCAGTTACGCATTGCTGTTTGTAACTTGCCACCAACTAATTAAAGACAAAAGTGTAGAGGGCTAGATTCTAACGTAATAATCTATAGATATTGTGCTTGTCACAAAACTCGTACGTGATGGGTTCTGTCTAATCTAAGATCGTTTGAGTTCAGAACTGAACAATCTCATACGTGAAACGAAATGGCTGTCCAGGCCTCCCTTATTTTTATTGGTTTTCAAGGCGGTGCTATTTCGTGATACAAATTATTAATGAACTGAATTAATGTGTTTAAAAAGAAAAGCATTTATCATTATCATATTAATAATAATAATAGTCAGTATAACTATTATTAACAAACCTTAGTAGGTACATTCGCTAAATAAGCATCATTTATTGATTGATATATTCTTAATAAATTAGCTTTCAAACCTTTAGGCGGTTCAACCGTCATTTTGGATCCATTTTGTAAAATATAAACAGGGAAGTCTGGACTTGGCATACTTGTCAACCATAATCGGAAATCACGATGTACCTAGCAATTAATGCAGAATACAATAAATCAATACATTCAACTGATTATATAATTTCTAGACTCAATTCATTATTTAAATTTAACATACATTACAAAAAATTGAATTGTTATTTAACACCAAATATAAATAAAACATAATATAACTTGATACTTTGAATAATTTTGAACTTGCTTTAAATTGCCTTAGTTTATATTATGTATAAACAAAATGGTCACTGTGTATATATCAATCCAACTACCATAGTAGAGAAATTTAACACGAGATGTTTGTCTACTTATTTCATGATAATTTTATTTGGAATGATGCTCGTATTTTATCACGTATAGACATGGTACGTTAGAAATATATTCAATAACTTGAAAACGTGTATAAACTCCGAAAGTTTTCATTAAACAAAATCCTTTCTTAGCCTATTTTTAAGGTAGTTAAATTTAAGCCTTTCTGTAAACCATGAACTAATATTTGTAAAACATATTTTAATGAGGATGCAATGATACACAGTGAAGAATAGATGGACAAAAGTTAGGCGTTTAGTGTGGATCAGTGCAAAGACTTAATGAACAACTAGTTCATCAGTATCGACATAATCCCTGAACTAAATAGAACGACCAACTCATTCGATCAAGTTGCCCATTAGTGTTAAAATGATTGGTGGTAATGACTATTTCGGTGATACCACATTGAGAAAGATAAGTGTTTTTAAACTTACTTTATCTTTGTCAATTTGCTCAACAAGTCTTTCTAATGTTGGCATCCATGACGGAGCTAAATGACAATTTTGGAAGAATACCCATACACCCCGTTCCATTGCTGTTCGCATAAGTTCTTCAGCTCTCGGACCTTGTCCTTGACCAAGAGAAATAGCGGACAACTTTTTTCCCCCAAAACTCATTTCATCAGCAAATTTGTATAAATCTGAAGCTGGATCTGTACCCTGTAATTGAATTTTTGTAAATGTCACAAAATTCTGACCGAACTTGCAACTAATTCAAAACATTACTCATGCCCAGTAGTACAAATTGTAACGCAGACAACAATAATTTAAAGGTTATTATATTTTTTCAATGAACAAAATACATACGGTTTCTGAGGGTCATCAGACTTGTGTTCGGATGGTTACATGATTTACTTCTGAGGCTATACCGTCAGGTGCTATTTGATACAGTGAAATAGACCGTTTTCTGTTTCATAGTGGTATACATCTCCGTTGATTCATAATGTCTTTTCAACTGAACCATAATGTTTAGGTAAGTAAGTAGGTTGGCCACAACAAGTTGTATGATAATTTGTCTCGTGGAATATTTTTCTGATTTACATTTCCAGATGGTTTTCTAAGTAAACTTTTAAGAATATGTTGATATAAATTAAAATTCATCAACAGTTATCAGACTATCTGTTTTGAATGTCTTTCTCAATAAGATATCCATTTCCTAAGTAAACGATTTGAGAAAAATTAGCTTGCCGTTTGATTACTGTAAGTAGTATCGACTATAATATAGTGTATGATTGTTTTGATCGATTAATTTGAGGTTTTTTCTATATATTCAGTGAATTAGTCTTTTTTACTGAGGCTTTGAACCATTTTGTACACGTAGATAAAAAAGGCATATTTAACTCAATGAGTGTATGTTATGCTACCCAACTTGAATGACAGTGAAAAATGATGTTAAAATTTCCAAACTACTTAAATCGAACTATAAACAGAAAAGACCTCACAAATCAGGAGTTTGTCATTAAAACAGGTAATGAGAATTTGAGTAAATGTGATAGTTCTGGACATATAATGAGTTCTTCAAGGTTTGTATTCTTTTTCCATTATCTTAAAGTAAATACACTTCAGTAAAAACACATATTCAATGAGAATGTTTGTATTTACTAGTCTTTAACTGAGCTATAAATGATTTCTGATAAGTTTCATTTTGGTCTTTAAGCTTCCGAAAAATATCAATGAAATGATATAACTGGACAATTATCTGTGAAATACGTAAGTAAAGATCATAGTGATTTCGAACAACTTATGCGAAACAAGAGTGCCTATAATTGCATGAGTGAATAATGGCATGATTTTTTTTAATAGTTGATTTTGAACAATTTATTTTTAGTATGGGGATTTGTGGAGACTGTAGTATTTTGACAGTTCAATTCATGGGTCAATCTAAGCTAGACCAACATTCGAAACTTGAAAGCTTCTGGGTTTTGATTGGTGGTCTAGCTTAGATTGAACTATAGCAGCTCACGTGAAATCGAGTTTGTTCACATTTAATTCCGTTAAGTCATTTTGTTAACTTATTAACGAACTGAGTCATCCGTACAGCAACAGTTTATCTATATCATTGTATCTTGATTATTGTTGCGAATGTATGAACATGTATGCTTGAGCATTGCTTTACTGCCTACGCATTTATTCACGCTGCTAGCCTTACTACTAACCGCCAAATTGATTCGATGATTCATTCATTTCACTATGCATATATATGTCCATGTTATTCATATTCGCTGACTTACTCGCTCGCTCGATCGCTTGCCTGCTTGCCTTTCGGCACAACTGTTTCATGCTTGTTTAACGCATGTGTGATTTTGGATATCTGTGTTTGGTCCCGTAATAAACGTTATCAACACTTCGTATTCGCCTTCTGATTAATATACCGTTGGAACGTTATCTAGTGACGGTTATCAAGACGAACTGTATACGAAGTTTAAGGATTATATTGAATACCGACCACCACAGACCCATGAACTCAATTGTTACAATTTCTATTTATTCAGGTTCCAGAGAGCATTTGAGTAATTTCACCATATAATGGTGGAAAAAACAATTCTAACTGTGAATCAGGGTATCCTTTACAATCTTATAGATAAGGGGAATTTAATCTGAAATGGCTTTTTGAATTAAGCGCAAAATACTAAAAGTCTATCTTCCCTTTAACGGGTTTGACAGTATGATGTAATTACATCATTATTTCTTCCCTTCAGATACTAACGCCCTAACTTAATTAGTTATAAACCAGTTAGATGCTTAATTATATGATGTCGCAAGTATACTCACATCGTAATTTATTGGTCAATTGATACTAGATAATACTCAGTTAAAATTACACAAATCCGACAATAAATGAATCACTTTAAATGTGTATTCAAATGTCATTTGGGTTTATTTCTAGGTCAGATGTGTCCATATCACTAGTCTTTATGTTTGTACTATGCAGAGTCAAATTCGTTGTTTTAGTACCAACAACAATTTAGTTAGGCATTCCACTGATACAACATAATGAAAATTCACTATTTTAAGGAAAACTAAGTAATAAAGAATAATTACATTGACAATGAATATTACGCTAAATGGCTTATTGAAAACGTTTAAACAGAATAACTAAATGCTTTTTTTCTCGAAAAGTGCTAACCTGTGATAAGACGAAAATCAATGGAGTTGACGGTGAACTATCTTTGAATACCTGATGAAGATTTGCAGTTTGTGGTTCAACAAATTTTTGACCCAAATGTTGACTGACAAAATCTTGCATAGCATTAGTTAATTTATCTGCTCGAAGGCAGCGTAGAATTAAAATACGTTGAAAATTATCTAAATTTGCTTGCCATGGTTCAGGGAATACAGTTCTATGTGGTTCAGATGAATCAAAAATTTGTTTAAATTGATCAGGATTTTGTGTCATACTTTCCGGTAGATTGGTAAACTTAGGCAGGGAGGCAAGATTTAACACATCCCCCCAAATCCGATCGGATATCCATTCCGGTGCTGGATTTGGTAATTCTTTGATTTTGTGAGTACCACCAGCAAGTAGGAAACGATATTCATCCTTGAACAGAAAATACAATTTCAACATATTCACATATATACAGTGGAGTCATGAGTATTTAATCAGCTTTATTTTGAATAACTTTAATATGTTATAATCTAGAATCACTAAATTCTTATTAGATTTCGACAAAAAAGGCATAACAGGTCTCTTGACTAACCCCATTATGATGTATTCACGATTCCACTAAACTACCTATCTGTTAAATTAGAGTCATATATTACGTGTGCTTAACTGATTGCAACAATTTTTTTTAAAATTTGAAGTCTTCACCCTCTTCAGTGGTATAACTAAGCATCATACATATAACTAGTAATTAGTATAAAACAGAGGTATTCATGCAACACTCAACCATAAAAGTCGGAGAATGGCCTGCATTTTAAAATTTGTCGTCAAACTGGTTTATGAATTCAAGCTTAATTCTGGTAATTAATCTATATCTGATAAGATATAAAAGGTACAGAGTATGGTGGAAAGATTTTACTCTATAACAATAACTTTAGGAAGTCTAATACTAACAACTAGTAGATCATAAAAACCTGGCAATGAAAAACATAAACTGTCTTGTCATAGAGCACCTGATGGAACTTAGTTCTCATTAAAATTTAATTCATTTTAGGGAGTCGGTAGATTAGATTACTATTTAATTGATTTCTCCAATAGTTTTGATTAATTTAGATGCATACATGTCAAAATTCACTCCATCTTAATAATTAAGTGAAGATAATCAATCAAAAGTTTTAGAATTTCATTTAAACTGATCAGGGAAATGTGATTTACACACATAGATTCATTTTAAAATTTATTAAAACAATATATCGAAGTAACTACGACCCGAAAAATCAGATCACTAACTATCTATCTAGGTAGTATATGCTTTAATCAGTGAAACTAAACTGATCAATCATTTGGCCACCATAAAAACGAAATATAGATGTTAACGGGATATTGACAGCAAGTCAGTTGTTCAGTCTGTCAAAGTCGATATCTATACCTGATTTTCTGGGCTAGCAAGCTTGTCTATAGATATTCATAGATGATGGTTACCATATAATTCACATTATAAGAAATAAAATTGGCTTTTTAATCTATATTTTCATTCTCATCAGGTTTGCGGGCTCAATAAATTAGTTGGAAAATATATTTAACGAAAGCTATTGACCACATATCAGATTATCAGAAGAGACTGTCGAATTATTTAATAAGTTTTCCTAAGAACGCTATCTAGTATAATGATAAAAACAGCACTGTTGCGCTAACCATATTACAGAAATTAAATCTATCATGTGGGATTAAATTTTCATGATCATCTCATAGTATTTTCATCCTTGAATATAATATTACTTAAAGGCTTTCATGTTGAAGTTAACTTATTCATATCTCATTTGTCTTCCATTAATCTACTCTTTTACCTGGAAAACTGGATTCGTTATTGTAATCTTTTGAGCAATTAATCATTCTGAAAGTTATTAAAAGTTTGAGTAATTATTTTGCTGGATAAGATTAAATTCAAATGATGAGTTGGAAGACTCATCTATCGACTATTTAGCAAGGCGTTGATGAAGATTAACACCGACAGTTAGTATCATTCAGATAAGCATAGACGATATTATGAGAACTATAGTAATGACTTAAATCAATACTATCAAAATAGATAAAATTATGAACAATAATTGGATTTTTTGGATTTCTACTTATGTCGACAGACATAAGTAGCATACACCACGATATTATTTTTTTCAGACACATATTGATGATACTTAACCATAGGGTGTGTATCGGCTGGTAACAATGTAAATAGATCTAGATTGTTACAGTCTATATCAGTCTGTCTAGTGAAGAAATTACCAATATGCATAGAAATAATAAAACCAGTCGTAGATAGGTATTTCCCTCAGTTTTCTGATGGCAAACCGTAATTTTTCAATGAATCCCAATCTGAAAGCCTATACTTACTGAATCTATTTTCCATCAGCTGTCATTAATTTTAAGGACTAACCCTATGTATTCATACGACCAACATTAGTTTAATTAGTAATCTCACACTGAAGGATAAATTTTGAGAGCATTGTGTTTGACTTAATGACATATTTAAAATGCTACTGATTACTAATGAGAATTTTGATTAAAACTGTTCTCATATCTAACAAGAAATGCTCAAACGTATTAACCAGACATTTTTCAATGAACATTTGTTACAATGGAATTTATAATTATAATTTCAATATTTTTACATTAATAATAATAATAATAATAATAATAATAAAACTGCATCATACATCACTTACAGAATCAATTAAACCCTCATTTTGTAATATTCGAATAGCCAACAAGAAAGCAAACATCAATTTATGCTTTTCAAATAAACTTCGGCATACATTACAGTATAAACTAAATGTGAAATAATCATTAATATTTTCTACACGTTGTGGAACAAAATCTGAAAACAAACAGTAAATGAAGGAAAACATTTCCATTCTTTGAAGTAGAATTCATTGAATTTGTAAGCATATGAAAATTTAAATGTTACATAGTTGGAGATATTTAGTAGAAATCTCTAAACTTAAGCTTTTCACTAACTGGTACTCATCATGAAGTAAAATTTTAAATGGAAGAATGTGACGCTCTTTGTAGAGAGTCGAACTAACAGCAACTAATGTTACAGTCTTTCACATTACTATTTAACTATTAATTTAACGACTGGGTTCTTGTTGTACTGAAATTTTCTCATACTGAACAATGAATAAATACAAACTAATTTACTGTTGATTTAACTCTTATTGCCGATAGGACCTCATCCTAAGAATAATTCCTACTAAGAAAACATAAGAACCTTAATGATGAGTACTTACAGATATAAAAAGTAACTCAGGCGTTTTTCCTCAAATAACTCAAAACTAGTTAACATGCAAATATCATTACGCAATATTTACTTACCAAAACAAGTCATTCCAATAGAATTAATAATAAAAGGGTTAGACAAAAAAAGAAATTATTCGTTATAAAAATTCTGAATGTTTTAGGTCTTCTTAGAGGAAATTGTTAGGATATTCGGAAAAATATACCAATAATTATCATGTTAAGTCTAATGGTGTCCTTGGACTTTAAATGGGCACTCCCTATTGGTCAGTATTTATTTCACTTGTTAAATATTGTACAAATGTTGTTTTCTATTTCATGGTCGATGTGGTCTGTTTGGTTGGTATGTAAACAGAGTATGTCTGAAATATAATGATTCATAACTCAGAGGCTGAGACTTGTGTTCTGGACTCAACTGGCTGGGCTAGACAGTGAAGCAGGGCCAACCGGGACTCTGGGTCGTTCGTAAATGTTTACGTGTCATTGATCCGATCGATAGATACGCTGCTATCTAAATCTGCAGTCACACGTTACAACAGTAATTTTTTTTTCGAATAGAAGTAAATTATCTGCACAATACTTTTATTGATTTTAAATGTTTCTCTAACTGAATTCAGTTCGTGGTAAAAATTTACCTACCAAAATGGCTTACTTTATTGATCAACATCAGAACGATGGGATATAATAAAAGAATCACGATCTCTCATGTGATTATTTTCTTCACGTTTTGCTAGGCTATACAAATAAGTATTTTTTAAAAACAATTTAAGATGATTAAAGTAGATAGCTTTTTTAAATTAGAGAGTAGCTCAATAACGTTAAAATATTTTTTTATATATTTTTCCACACTGGTAATCCATCATTAGAGCGCTCTGTGCTAGGCCAAAAATTCCTGGGTATCACCTATGAGGATATTTTAGGTGTGTACAGCTAAGGATTATTAAACTTTGGATGGATAGTGTTCATTGCTTCTTAAATTTCAGAAGTTATTTAATTAAAATCAAGAAAAATATAATCAACATGAGTACCTGCTGTAAATGAAAGTGCCCACAACACTTTGTAGGAAACATTTTTACTGGTACCGAATAGTATAAATTATTAGTCAAAATAATTAAAAGCAATAGTTATAGTTTTACACACCGGCTCTCTCAGCATTTGTTATTCCTTGAAGGAAAATATTTACAAACCATTCCAAGGAATATTGATACATTGGATCAATATTTGCCAGATCAGCAACACAAAAGAACAAAATTTGTGTTCTCACTGCTACTGGAATGTATTTACTTCTAGTTTCATCAATATCACGTTCTGTTTGTTCAGCTGCAATAACTCGTGATTTAATTTCGCTTGATTTTAATTTTGATGCTTCTAATGTTTGTATTAAATCGATATCATCAACTGGTGAACCTTCTGTAGCACTAAGGCGCTCCAGAATTTTATCTTCAATCTCTTTTAATTCTTGTTTCATTTTTGCATTGCTTATAATTAATTGATTTTTAGCCTCTTCTAAATCTGGACGTTCTTCAGCAACAACAATGCCTAGTAATTGATCTTCTAAACCACTTGGTGACAAAGTAAAGTTTATAACAGTCACTTTAGTTGAAACTTCTGGTTTATAATGTGGATTAGATAGTTTTGTTGTTATATACAATTTGAAATCGTTATGATATGGTATTATTGCATCACCAAGTTTAATAACTGTTGCACCTTGTTGTTTAAAAGTTTGTTTTAATAGGACTGATTCGAGAACTGGATCTAGCTCTTCTCCAACATTTTCTAATAAACATGGTTTACCGAAACGAAGAGCATTCTCTAAATTACGTATAAAATCTTTATCAGATAATTTGATAATAATAATACCATCTGGTTGGCCTAATGATTTAATCCATTTATTTGCTTGACCTTGAGGATCAATAAACAATGGCCATCGTCTTGAAAATTGTACAATCACAGCATTTTCAATAGATAATGCATCTTTAGGAAGACCAAGTATATGCCAATTACGTAATCTTACTGGATCAGCATATGTTTGAACTAGATTTGGTGCTGGTTCAGTAGTATGCGGTACATGATGATACTTTAATTTATCCACCCATTCATTAATCATGTCTAAACGATATTTAGCGGAGAATGGTCCGAAATATGCTACAGAACCAGAGGAGCATAGTACATTACCAACAAGATTAGTTAATAAGTAATTCAAATTACTGACAGATTCTTTCCAACGTATTTTCTCACTTCCTAAACCTCCAATTAATTTATCAGCTCGAATCAGTCTTGCTTCGCATAATTGACTTTTCTCTTCTAATTCATGTTGTTTACGTATACATTCATTGTACTTTATTTGTAAACTAGTTATACGATCTTCACATGCCTTTAAACGATTTCTTGCTTCATTTAATACTTGTTCAGTTTCAGCTAATTCCAATTCAGAAGATTGTAGAGCCTGACGTTTTGGTTCAACTGTTTTTGCTACATTATAATATTTAAACATTGCTCTAACCCATAAACAAATACTAGTGCATGCTTTACTAACTTTGGCGATTGTTGCTGGTGAGAAACTTTCAGATTCAATGTATGGTTTAATTTTATGAATTATATACTCTGGAATATTTTCTTTATCATAATTCATTAAACTATCTAAAAATTTTCCAGGATCTTGTAGCATAATTTTACCTGGTTCCCAATAATCATCAATTTTAACGCCTGGTTTATCACCAGCTATTTTCTTCGGCTTAACATCTTTCATAATGCATACAGCTTCGATGACTAGGCGCACACCTTCTGGTGGACGCATCATAGCTCTAACTTCAGTTATATCATTTTTATTCAATGATTTTAATGCTTCTAATGATTCATATAGAGCTGGTAATGCTTCGTCTAAATCACGTTGTGCGTCATTACGAATCGTTTGACATTCATGTGCTTTTTTCAATGCTTGTTGTTCTTCACGAGCTACAACAATTTGTGTCTCTTCAGCAATTTTAGAATCATGTGCAATTTCTTCCATTGTTTTTCTGGATTCTTCAACAGCTTTTAACAATTCTGGTTTCATTAGTTCTAATTCTTCTTGTAATTTTGAAACAACTTCTTCTGTATATAACAATTTATCTAAACCAGTTTGTGTACGATTACGAGCAGTAATTATTTCGGATTTTTTTAATCCATAAATTTTAGAGAAAACAGTTAGTAATTCAAGAAAACTTGTTGGTGTCACATAATTATGACGATTTAATTCTTGTTTAAATAATTCTGTATTTTGTACAACTGATTGATGTATATCTATACATAATTGTACTAAAGATTGTAATGTTTGTTCGTCAATTTCTAAATCAGACATATTTTGTAACATTCTAAATGCAACAGATTTTAAAGCTTCCGTTGGCCATTCACTGAACCAATCAATTGTACAACAATTAACTAATGCTGGAAATTGTCTTAAACGTGCACGAAATATTTCACCAATAGGGCTCATTGTAATTACTGTATGTAGATTAGCACGTATACGTTTTGTATAACATGAAAATAAATTAGTTTTAGTTGGTTGTAAACTTGATTCAGCGGCTACAATTTTCATAGAATCATATATTTTGTCTAGTTCATCTAACTGATATATATTTGGTACATCACCAGCATTCAAAATATTATTAATATCTTCTAGAAACGATTCTGATTTTATCTATAATAATGATCATGAAAGGGAAAAAAGTATCCGTTGTCACAAGTACATAATGAGACATTTAAGCAAACTAGCAATCAAATAAAGTTTAGTGAAAGTTTCCCATACTTTAGATTACGGGACTGGTCTTAGTTAAGCAATCGTGGAAAGCAATAAAGTATTGGACAAGTACTTCATCCCAGTATGGGACTCCTCACTGGTAAGCATTCAAGACTTTGATAGGGGTGTAACCCAGGATCTTCAGGTTCAACCTTTACATATTATGTCAATATTCAAAGGTCCGTATTTCAAAATTCACTTAGTGCTAAATGTAGAAGTATTATTCTAACTGTCGATTGGTGTTACATTTCAATGCAAATCAGAAAATTTATCAAAAAGGTCTTGTAAATTTGTAATTTGTAGATTATTTTCGCATATGGACTAGTATTTATTAGGATAACATAAAAGTCAATTGGTACTTGATGTTTTTTATCTCTCCAAAAAGACAGATCATTTTTTCTAAACATCAAAACACGAGTCTTGATCAGTTATTTAGTCTGTTTAACAGTATCAGATTTTTTAAGTGGAAGAAGAATCGTTAAGTTTCCTGACTGGATATTTCAGACTAGTTCAGAACGATTGATAGACGGCACATGCAGCTTTGACTCGTTATTGTAAATTGTATCATATCACAAACTAGCACATAGTAAATCCATGAAGAAGTCAACTTTATCAATAAATTCTCAGAGTTCATGCATGAATTTGTTTTTCAATCATAAAAGATTGAACTATAAGTAAAGATGAATAGTGGCTAGCAGCAGAATCCAGGACACGCGTTTCGTCCCATTTAGAGCTCGTCAGCTGGATGTGCCTGCTTCCCAGAGTTGATATTCACTCCAGAGTGAAGGTAAATCCAGTCGATGAACCCCAAATCGGACGAAACGCGCGTCCTAGATTCCACTGTTAGTCTCCATCCATCTTTGCCTATAATGCTTGTGACTTAATGTAATATCGAGGCAATCCGCAAAGGATGTACATATTACCAATAAAAGAATGGTCGATTGTAATTCTAAACGACAAAGAGAAGATTCAAACAAACAATACGAAAGAAATTAAAGATTACATTGCTGTAAAGAAACGGAAACGTTTTCCTTACTTGTGTATCAGAAAACAAAAATGTCACTGGTTTATTTTCTATACCGGCCTTCATCATTATTTTTTTCAGATCTTCACGCCAGTCATTCATACCATAATTTTTAGATAATTCGATTTGAAAACAATCATATTCAGCCCTTGAAGTAACAGAACATAAAAGTTTATATTCGGAGGATACATAGGAAAAAAGGTCAGTTCTTAAACTCATTATAAAAAAATATGACCCACTCTGAATATATGCCTTTTATTTTAGAATGTCTAACAGCCTGTAGCTCTTCTAGAGTTGCTGTCGTAACAAGCCTGGGCAAAGGAGGAGGGTTGGGTATGGGGGCGGCAACCCCATCAAGAAGAAAATTTTTTTGCTAAAATACGCTAACCAGATTAAACAAACGGACCGGAAGCAGGGACCCTCCACCAAGATAACACAGAAAGGAGATCTGATAAAATGTGAGAACTACAGAGGCATCACACTACTATCAGCACCAGGAAAAGTTGTCTACAGTGTGGCTGAACACGACTAAAGATTCAGTAGACATCCAGCTTCGAGATCAGTAGTCTAGATTCCGTAAGCATCAATCGTGCACAGACCGAATCGCAACACCACGGATCATCGTTGAACAGTCAGTTGAGTGCAACTCGTCACTGTACATCCAAGTCATTGACCATGAGAAGGCGTTTGACAGTGTAGATAGGACGACCATATGGAACCTTATTCAACACTATGGAGTACCTGAGAAGATCTTCAACATCATGGGGAATTCATAAGACGGACTACAATGCAAAGTGGTGCATGGACGACAGCTGATTGATGCATTTCAAGTGAGGACCAGAGTCGGACAAGGCTGATAACTCTCCTGCTTCCTCGTTCTTCTGGTGGTCGACTGGATTGTGAAGACCTCAACGTGTAAGGGAAAGTACGGAATACAATGGACAGCTGGGAATCAATCAGAAGATTTAGACTTTGCGTATGACCTGATCCTTCTATCCCATACACATCAACAAATGCAGGTCAAGACAAACAGTGTGTAAGAAGCCTTTGCTTTAGTAGACCTCAACACGCACAGGCGAAAAGCAAGATCATCAAATGCAACACGGAGCACATCATCTGAACCAAACTTGATCGAGAAGCTGTGGAAGGTGTGGAATTCTTCACTTACCTGGAAAGCATAATCGATGAACAAGGAGGGTCGGATGCAGACGTGAAGGCGAGGATTGGCAAAGTGAGTGTCGTATTCCTACAGTTGAAGCGCACATGGAACTCAAAACAACTGTCAGTCAACATCTAAGTGAGAATCTTCAATACGGAAGTAAAGACAGTTCTAGTGTGTGGAGCTGAATCGTGAAGAACCACCACAGCCATCATCGAACAGGTACAAGTTTTTGTGATCAATTGCCTAAACAAGATACTGAATGTCCATTGGTCAAATACCATCAGCAACAGCCTATTGTGGGAGAGAACAAACCAGCTTCTAGCTGAAGAGGAAAATAGGAAAAGAAGTTGGAAGTGGATAGGACATGCATTACGGAAATCATCGAACGGTGTCACGAGGCAAGCCGTAGGTTGTAATCCTGAAGGGAGACAGAAAAGTGGAAGACCAATGTACACATTGTGTCAGGAATCGGAAGTAGACATGAAAAGGATGAGTGTTAAGTTGAATGAACCGGAGAGGATTGGTCAAGACAGGGTTGGATAGAGAGTGCTCGAGGGCAGCCCATGATCCTCCACGAGTGATCAAAGACATATTTAAAGTAAGTACGTAATCGTAAAATGTCTAGTTAACTGTTTTCTATTCACAGAAGCTATAGTTTTGGTGTATGACTTTGAGTGTTGAGAATTGCGTCAGCATGCATGATGCATTTCATCAAATCTTCCTACTAACTATCTTCAATCATCTAACATGTTGCGATTGTGTATATAACGTTGAGGGGAATGACTAGTCAACTGTAGATTGACTGCTCACTCATCGATAGAGCTGTGACATTCACTTAGTAAATTATACTAAAAATTACTCTTTTTCTCCGTAAATTTTCACAAAAAGGTCTCTGAGTTTACCTGTGTAATACTCAGGTACAAAACCTACTCTGAGGTTTTGCTTATAATTTTCTCAATACATATATTTGTTTAAATTTACTAAACAATAACCAAGATTTTAAAATTTGGTTAACTTCACTGACGTCATAATAATATCATTATGATTATCAGAATTATCAACGTTTTATTTGATTCTAACTGACTATGATCTAGGAAGGAGCTTATTAAAATTTTATTTCTATCAGTTTGAGATTAACTGTCCAAATACGATTACATTTGTTCCTATTGTTAACCTCTAAAAACACCAACGGATTGTTTATTTGAACTGTGAGTTACAATAGCCATCTCCTATTGAAATCACGTTTTATAAATAATATCAACAGTAATTTTTTTGGTCGGTAAATGTATTGTGATTATGAACATTGGATAGTTTAACTGCAACACATGCTAACGTCTTTATTAAACTTTACAGAAGATTAAAGGTTTTCAACAACAAGTCTTTAACTTCCATAATCCCAATGTAATAAGAGTGATTACTTTAAAGAACATTTACTCACTTAAAAAACTGTATAATATCGTACTCAAGTACTACAGATTTCAGTCTTCTTCATACCAATAAGCTGAATAAGTTCAAAATCAAATGAACTGTACATTATATTCATCACAGGTTGATGTCACCTTAGACATCGTTGCAAAT